AATGCCTTGTCTCATGTCTTCTCCTGTTTTACATCTCAATTATCTGTTATATCTATTTCTAAACATTTATAGGATGCATTATCTGATCCAGGTTAGAGCAAAGTTATAGAGGAGGAGATAGATGTTTTACATCATAATGGGACTTGGGATCTCGTTCCTTTATCCCTTGGTCAATGAACTGTTGGCTTTTATTGAGTGTATACTGTTAAATTTCATCTAAATGGTTCTGTGGAGCATCTCAAAGCCCGACTTATTGCAAAGGGGTTTACTTAGACTTATGGTGTTAATTATGAGGAGACTTTTCTCCTGTTGCCAAAATTTTCCCTGTCCGTATCTTGATTTTTTTGGCTGCTAATCTTGATTGGCCCTTGTTTTAATTAGAGATCAAGAACGTCTTTCTACATGGTGACTTGGTTGAAGAGGTATACATAAAGTAGCCACTTGAGTTTATTGCTTAGGGGGAGTATGGTAAGAGTGTATGTCGGTTAAAAAAATCTTTATATGGTTTGAAGTAGTCACCAAGGACATGGTTTGGTAAGTTTTCAGATATAGTTTTAGAGTTTAGTGTTCTTTGATGTCAGACAAATCATTCTATGTTTCATAGACAGACTGATACTGGATATGTCATATTGGTGGTCTATGTGGATGATATTGTGATTACTAAAAATGATTCTGAAGGGATTGCTAAGTTAAAAATATTCTTACAGGATCGATTTCATACTAAAGATTTGAAAAATCTCAGGTATTTCTTGGGTATTGAGGTGACTCGATCTAAACAGGATATTTGTTTATCCCAAAGGAAATATGTACTTGATATACTTGAGGAAACAGGTTTGCTGGGGGGTACACTATTTGATGTTCCTATGGATTCGAATCAAAAATTATTGATGGATGATGGTGCATTGTTTGAGAATCCGGGTTAGTATCGCAGATTGGTTAGGAAGCTTAATTATCTCACTATTATTCGATCGGATATTTCCTATGCAGTTAGTATAGTAAGTCAATTCATAGGATGTTCTAGAGTACCACATTGAGAGGAAGTTACTCGTATTCTACGATATCTCAAACGAGCTCTTAGACTAAGACTGTTATATCGAGCTAATGAACATTTTAGAGTGGAAGGTTTCTCAAATGCTGATTGGGTTGACTTTCCTTCTGATCGGAGATCAACCACTGGTTATTGTACTTTCTTAGAAGATAATGTTGTCTCGTGGGAAAGTAAGAAACAACCCGTGGTAGCAAAATCCAGTGCAAAGGCTGAGTATAGGGCAATGACACATACGACGAATGAGTTGACTTGACTACTACACTTCCTCCAAGAAATTGGGTTTCCAGTTCAACTTCCTTTACAGTTATTCTGTGATAACCAGTCAGCTATCTATATCGCTGTCAATCTTGTGTTTCACGAGATAACCAAACATATTGAGATTGATTGTCACTTTATTCGAGACAAGATAGTAGCTGGGGAGATTATAACTCTATTTGTGAAATATGAAGATCAGCTTGCAAATATATTTTCCAAAATATTAAGTTGTACACGTCTTACAGCTATTTGTTTCAAACTTGAATTATATGATATATATAATCCAACTTGAGGGGAAGTGTTAAGAATAGTAGGGTAGTATGTGTAAATTATTAATAGTAATAGGGTGTATGTGTAATTTTTATTATTGTAAGTTATCTATAAATACAAATGGTGTTTGAGAACTAAGTTAAATTTTTAACCCCTCTCTCTTTATCTTTAATATTATGTTAATCCCTCAAACTTAACATATCTCAATAATAATCTTTAGTATGTTCGATAGCTCCACAATAAAAACATTTTAACTCAGAACGATTACCACTACCACCGTGTCATCCTCTACCAATACCTCTACCTTCATGGCCACCACTACGACCACTTCTACGGTCACCGTCACTAGAGAATAAAACAAAGGAATCAAGTGAGAGTGAAAAAGTCATGATCATCCAAAGAATAAACCTATCTAACTTGATTATCACCAAAAGTATCTTGACATCATCTGAAGTCGCCAAAGTAACAACTCACAAGCTATAGGCAATAATAGAGAAGAAGAGAACCAATAATTCTCAAGCAACAATAATCACACAAAAAATAAACAAAGGAGAAGAATGGGATCGGCACTGTTGTGCTCCAAAAACACCTCCGAAGCAACCCAAACAGGTTGGGCAACTCACAGATTAACCATGCAGTTCTCAAAACATCCCAGAGAGGCCAAAAAGCAACAAAATAACACGAATCAGAAGTAAAAGAACACAGTTCAAGCAAAGATCAATGTTATCAGCTCTGTTTTTGCTTCAAAATACCTCCAAAATCAACTCAAAATAGGTTGGGCAACTTAAGTGACACCCCCCTCAGTCTTGTTCAGCACCCATAAAACCATATCTAGGCGAAAAATTCAGCCAAGCAGGAATGAAATAGCAGATATCTGATATGTTGTGTGTAGGTTATGTTATCGTTCTCCTTATTTAAAAGTGAACAATGTTTAGAGTAATTCCTATACTAATTAACTTATGACTTAATATAAAAAATAAGAATTCTAACTTAATTATTAACGGGAAGCCTCATAATGGTTCAAAAAGCCAACAATTAAGTCCATACCAATGTTATTAGAACCGGATCGGACATCGAACCGGCAGAGGAATTAAATTAATAGTTCACTGGTTTAATCATTGAATTAATTGGTCATATAATTAAAAAAATATAAAAAATTATAAAATATAAAAATTTACAATCACAATAAAAATCATAGTGTACTGTGTATGTGCTCTTTACTGTTGAATTGAATGTGTGTATTAACTATTTAATTTATATTTAATTTTTCAATAGAAAAATACTATGTAACCCAAATTTATATCTCAAATGAACGGAAACTATTAGATGAGTAGATCTCATCAACTTTTTCAGATGGAAACCACCGATCCAATAATCTTTATTGATTTAGGATGCTTTTTGGAATCCCAAATTTAGGTTACATAGTATTGTTCGTTTCGATAATACCGTGCGTGTGTGCACATGTAGAGAGAGGGAGAAAGAGAAAAAAAAACCCATGTGAGAGAGAAAAAGAAAGACTGCAGCAAGCAATCCTTTTTTCTTTCATTCGGTGTTTGTGCAAGGAGAGAGAGGAGAAAATGATGAAGTGGAAGGAGATCCAGATTTGTTAAAGTGGAAGGAGAGGAAGTGGTGTGTATTACTGTGTCTAACTAAAAAATATGGCCAATTTAGGTCCTAGTTCACGATTCAACCGGTCTTATCGATCGATCCGATTCTGATAACACTAATTCATACAACAACATTCGACTGAGTTGACGTAGAATGCTAATTTACATCAACAAATATATAATGTACTCAAACATAACAAAATATATGATTAAGGGATTGAATTATTCACGGTTGTCCAGTAAATTGCAAGTTTACAGGCAGCCACTTAACATCCAACACATCAACAAAGGGAACCCCATTTCAGAACTTTTTTCCGGTGTATCTAATTCTTCATCTCTCTTTTTTTTTTCTTCTTTTTTGGTACTTACATCTCCCTTTTTTCTGTTTCGACCTTGTCTTTCCTTCCTTCTTCTTTCACTTTTATCTTCTCTCTCTTCTTGCACAAAATCACTTTCTCAACAAAACTCATACACATTTACAGGCCAATTCACCCACCCATCACACAGTCACACACTCAAAACACACCCGACAAACCCAGCAGTAGTGTCCTTAACAAAATCCATCCAACACCTTCTCACCAACCCGAACCCCAACTCAGATCCACCTCTACTACCACTGCACCAACGAGTGGCTATCAAAATCCCCTTTCCGTCCCGCCTCCTCCAATGACCAACTAGTGCGTAGGTATGCATTATGGGGTGCATATTTTTTAGTCTCTGTTTGTGTTTTGAGTGTGAAAAGAAAGAGAAAATAGGTGAAGAAAAAGATGGAAACAACCAAACAAACAATTGCTTGGGACCACATTATTGTTGTGTCATAATTTCTCCAGAAAATTATTTTCAAATATTTTGACATTTGTCACTTAATTATTTAAACCTCTAATATTTAAAATATTACTTAAATTCTTGAAATTTGTACGCGTGTAACACTTAAATCCATGCTGTGCTAATATATCTATTAGTAAAGTATATCTAAATCCACTAAAATTTGTAAGTATATAACATTTAGACCTCTTAAGTTTAAAATATTATATTTAAATCTCATATTAGTTATAGAACTAATAGAATTTATTAAACAACCAAATTACCCCAATTAAAGATAGAAAATATTGTGTCAATTATAATTTGATCCCTTATTTGATTTTTAGTTTTATTATCATAGGCAGTATAATTGAATACAAATGAATGTTAAATTTATTCCTTTTATATATTTATACTGATTATAATTTTTTTTTTCAAAAAATTAGAATTTTGTTTGGTTATTATGTCAATAGATGATATAATTGAATATGCAAATGTGATGATTAAGTTTATTTAATATGTTGGTACTTGATAATGAAAAAATTGACCCGACATAAAAAGTTTATTTACTCCAAGTCCAACTTATTCTATTAAGAGTTTTAATTTGAATAGAATTCTAAATATCATGAATAAACTAAATTTAATTGTGCACATCAAATCAACGTATAAAGATAAGGATATAATTCTTATCTTTCTATGACTGATTTTTATTCGATCATTATTCTTACGCAATACAAATTATCGAAACTCCTATAAATAGAGCTTCATCGACGCTCCATGTATGCCACTTGTAGCATCTAAACATGGTTAACACTTTTTAAGTTACTTATTGACTTAAGGATTAAAGAGTCAGACTATTGGAATTTCACTCCGCTCTTTGACTTTTTTTCAGGTGGTCGAAGCCTATTAATATATGATGAGTAGATGGAAAGCATCAAGACAAAGGAACAACTATGAATCTAAGTAAGTTCATTAAGGAAATTAGAAAGAAGCAAAAGAAACATAGCAAGACAAAAATTCTAATTGTTTTGGATTCTCACAGTGTCTGCCGGAGCTGGCAATGCAGCTCCATTCTTCGGTAGCTTCGACAACACCGGCCTATCCTCCAAAACCGGTAGCTTCGCCAACACCGGCCTATCCCCCGACACCTCTATGCCCCCGGCCTTCCCAAACAACTGCTTCCTCAAAACATCATGCAAATGCCCAAACAATTCCTTCTTCAAGGACTCGAACGCCAAATCCAACCTTTCTAACTGTTCCATCGCATTTTTGTTGTACATAAACAACCCATAATACAAATCAAAGCTATCACCGGCAGTATTCTCGACCAAATTCAACAATGTCTCGTACCCTTTTGTATTAATCGGCGTAGTCTCCAATCCCAACTTCTCCAAAACTCTTCCCATTGTATGTGTAATGAATTGTGACCCTGCCGCGTATTTATCATGCTCTGCACAGCTCATTTCCACCATTCTACACCCTTCTTTTTTGAATATTTCAAGAAATCTTTCAATTCTTATAGCCCTTGAATCTTCATTACCAATCCGAACTTGATCATACACAAATGGTAAGTCATTCCAACTATATTTTCCACTTTCAGGTCCGAACATTGGGTGGGTACATAAGATGTCAAAATCACATGGTAAGATTTGAAGGAATAGATTTTTTGGAAATTCTTTGACTGATAATACATCTACGAAGAGGGTACTGCGTTTGAGTCTTTGTAGAGGCAATGATCGAAGGACATTTTCTGTGGAGAAAATTGAGGTACAGAGGAGAAGGATTTCTGGGTGTTCTTCGCAGAGGTCGTGAGGGTCGGGAAAGAAGGAGACGCCGAGGTTTTGGGCGATTTTGGAATGGTTGGATCGGGAATGGGCAAGGACTGTGTGGCCTTGTCGAACTAGAGTTTTGGCGAGGAATTGGCCGAAGTTCCCGAAACCGACGATGGCGATTTTGAGCTTGGTGGACTTGGCAAAGCGGTCAAAGATTTGGGTCTCGAAGTGGTTGGTTTGGGCAGCGTCTAGAGAGCGGATTTGGAAGTGGTGGCGGAAAGGAGTTTTGGTGGTGAGTGGGAAGTGAGGAGGTGGCGGTGGAGATATAGAGTGACGGTGGCGGCGGCGGGGGTAGGAAAAGAGGGAAGAGCGGGTAATGGTGGTGGAAGGTTGGAGAGAGAGAAAAGAAAGCATGATGACGTAAAGAAAGAGAGAGATCTTTCTCAGTGAAGAGGGGCTACAGGTGGAATTTTGATCGTTGTCGGTGCTGTATATAAAGCAAAGCAAGAGCGCGACGGAAATCGCATGCAATTTGGCACAGAGAGAGAAAAAAAAAAAAAGTTCAAGAAGACAAGAGTTCTGTTTGTAACAAATGATTTCCATATCGAAGCAAAAGGGTCAATTTTTTACCACTAGCACACTGTTTGCCACATTTCCACACCCGGCATTATTACTTGCGAATGTCAAATTACTGGACAAAAAATGGATAGTTGCACATGTGTACGCAGCCCTCGTGGCTGCATGTGAGTTTTGATGGAAAATGAGACAATCATTGAGGCCAATAAATAATGTTGAGTAAACTATACATGTTGGCTAGTTTAAATTATGATTATTACGTTAATTAAATTTTAATTTTTTTTTTATTAATTGACCCCTTAAACTCTTTCATTGTTTTAATTGAGCCTTTCTATTTGCCTGTGTTAGATTTTCTAATGCAAAATGGCAAAGGTTAGAATAAACTATACAAATGGTCCTCAAACTATGACTCTTATGTCAATTAAATCTTTTAAATTTGTTTTTTTTTTGGTCAATTGAGTTTCTAAACTCTCTAATTGTATCAATTTAACATTTTTGTCTTTCTGTGATATATGGTCACATGAATGACACACTCTAACAAAAACAGATAAAAAACTCAACTGACGCAATTAAAGAGTTTAAGGGCTCAATTGACACAAAAAAAGTACAAGAGCTAAATTGACACAAATTTCATAGTTTTAAGGTCATATATGTAGTTTACTCAAATATTTTTTTATTATAATTTAATATTTTTATTGTAATTATAGGAGTTCATAAATTTAAAATAGTAAATTAGTGAATTTAGTACTTTTAATTTGCAAACTTATAGTGACTTCGCTCATAGCGTGATTAAAGTTAGGGGTATTTAAATTTTCGATTACCCACAAATTCCAATCTTATCTTATCCTATCTGACTCTATTGATCGACTATCCAAAAAAATTGGGTAAGTCAACAGAAGATTTTTTGGCATTTCGCAAAAAATTGGGTAGAAATGCGAATACCTACAAAATTTTTATATTTCAACCCTATCCAACCCGCATATATATATTTGTGTGTGTGTGTGTGTTTTAATTCCTAAAAATTAAAATTTAAAAATCTGAAAACCCTAATGTTTTATTGATATTTATAGTTTTCTTATATATGATGTATTGATATTTTTGGCTTTTTCGTTATATTTTATTGTAATTGTTTATGTATTACCGAATTTATTGTGTTTTTTTTAGTATTATTGGTTTATTGTTCTAGTTAATTGGTGTATATTACTTAATTAAATTGTTAAAATGATTCAAAAATTAATAACTAAAAAATATGTGTTCACCTGATTTCTGTCCCGATTTCCTACTCTATTGTTTTGGACGAAATTAGGGTGCGAATAATATACTTGATCAGGTAGAGTAAGTTAAAAAAAAATTTCATAAAGTATCGGATAGGAAGATAAAATATCATAATTCCTACCCATAAGATAGAGTGAACAACCCTAATTAAAGTTAGATGAATCATGTGATTTATATGACGAGAATTAGGAGTTAGACTTTCCAGCAATGCTAATTTAATCTAAATTTTTTATTTAATTAATTATTAATATTAAATTAACAATAAATCTCAATATAAGCTGAGACTTGTTATTAAGTTTATAAATTGGAGTGTCAGTAGTTAGTGGTTTTTATTTTATTAATTTAATAATTAAAATAATAATTAGTGGTTTGTATTTTGGGATTTGCATTTGTTTGCCTTTTTCTTTTTTGTGTTCATTAAAAGGGAACTCGTAAAGTAATTTTTCCCTTTAATTTGTAATTGTGTATAACCGAATTATACATTAAATATTAGTTAATTTTGCATCAGACCTTTTAATAACCGTAAATGTTTCTTTTATTTCTCAAAACAAAGCTCTTCACATAGAGAGGGGGTGTTTAAGAATAAATAAAATGAATTTTCTATTTTAAGGTCCTACATGAGTCTTCAACTGTCTATTTAAGGAGAACGTGTCTATTATAATTTTTTTTTTTGCTTAAAAGTGCGCCATAAAACTAAACGAAAAAAAGTCATATTCCTAATTTTGTCTCTTCCATGTTTTCTCTTTTAATGCATTTATTGAATTTTTTAACTCTCACACACATACACAATCATATGTACATCCATAATATTTGAGAAATCCTTTGTTTAATACCTTTTTTTTTTGGTAATTTTAGAAAATAATTTGTGTTATATTTGTTTGTCTAAAACAAAACCTGATTACCATAATGATTGAGGTTCATTTGATTTTATAGTGAGATCATTCCGAAAGAAATCAAAATTTATAATACACATAAATTTGTGTAACATATAATAAAAATTAAAGTTATATTAATCCAGAGATGTTCATTTTATATATAATATAAATTAAAATTTTATTAATATAGATAAATTAGCCTAAAATAGTTTTGAAAATGTAAAACTTATTAAAATAGATAAATTCAAAACAAAAAATTGAAGTTTATAACACAGATAAATTCATATTACATGTAATAAAAATCAAAGTTTTTTTAAAAGAGATAAATTTATGTAAAACATAATCCAAAATAAAGATTATAATACATATAAATTTATGTTACATAATGCTTATTAAAACAGATAAATTGAACAAAAATAGTTTTATAAATCTAAGATTTATTAAAAAAAATAAATTCAAAATAGAAGAATCAAAATTTTATTCATGTTACATATAGGAAATATCAAAAGATTATTAATACATATAAATTGACTAGAAATAGTTTTAAAAATTTAAGACTTATTAAAATAGATAAATTGAAAGTAAAATAATCATCAAAATCAAAGTGTTATCAAAACAAATAAATTCAACTAAAATATCATCAACAAGCAAATTTTATAATACCGATAAATTCATGTTGTACATAAATAAAATCAAAGTTTTATTAAAACAGATAATAAAAAATAAATAAAAATTAAAAACAAAGTTTATAATACAAATAAATTCATTATTTCAGAAGTTTTTTTGTTATCAATATTGAATAGATTATAGTCAAATATTCGATAATTTTCATGAATAAAAAATATTTTAAATTGATTCAGAATTATAGACTTTCAAGTAAAAAGATTCAAGTAATAATTATAACGATAAATTTTGTGTGCAATATAACACAAAATTAAATGTCAAATTACAATAGTTTGATTTGATTAGAAAAGTGGTGTTGGCTCTATTTGGTGTGTTCTCAAGTGCACAATTCTCCGATTCTCAATTGATATGGTGTAAAGCGAGGGTTTTCACTGACGTATTTCTCAATCTTTGATTTGATGATACTTTGATGAATTTGATGAAAATAATGGTTTGTCAACGTGTCTCTTGATTTTTTAATTTGGTGTCGACGTTGGTGGATCTATTCACCATTCTTTGTATTGATCGACTTGAAGATAATTTGAATCTCTTGAAGAGAGATCTTGACAGCGTATTGTTTTTTGCTAAAAGATGGATTGACCTTATATTTTTGTTTGAGCTTATGAATTTTGATCTAGCCCAATTTAATTTGAGAATTTGTTTAGTTTTAGTTTGGACTTCAATTATAGACATTATTATTTTTCAATGCCTACAAATTTTTCCTTAAGACTTGTTTATAGATTAAAATATGCAAACGGATCTCGAATTATATTTTGAAAAAAATTTATTTTTAATTTTTTACCATAGTCGAAATGGAATTCTAATCTATGACGAAATCAAAGTACCAAATTAAAGCACATCGACCTAAAAATTTGGCATAGACTTCTAATTCGTTATTGATTACAATAAGAAACCTTTTTTTTTAATACATAAAAAATAATAATTAAATAAAAGTCAGGATTTCTATACATTTATTCATGTAGAATCTTTAATTCATAATAGACATCTTGGCCCAGCATTTTAAATTCATTCGTGGTGGAAGGCTTTCAGCCACGTGAAGGTTGGTGTTTGGTAGGGAACTTGGCAGTCATGGTACCGAAAATTTTACATACTAATTGAAAAAAAAATTACAATAATAGTAAAAAAAATTATAATAATAATGGACAAAATTATAATATTAATGAAAAAATTATAATGACAATAAAAAATTTACAATAATAGTTGATGGGACTTTTCTGAGACACTCTATGATGAAGACACGTGTCCTCGGTATTACTAAAACACTGTTGATAAGATCAAGCATCATCGGTGCATAAGTGTCCTCGCCCCCGAGGTACTCTCCATATAGGATCATGACATTCAGTACGTTTTACAACCAACGCGTGACCTCGGTCTGATATGGTACCTCGGTCGGTATCCCAACCTCGGTGCCGAGATGATCCTTCCCTCGGTGCCGAGGTGTACCCCGTCCAGGACGCCTCTTCTACTCCAGGATAAACTATTGACGTACAGGTCATCAGCCTAGACTAGTCTAGGCTATTCATCATAACCTCGTCTTACACAATTACTGTCAGAACGTGCAAGAATACAGGGGTCACAGCCAATAGGGGATGGACATGTGGCGTATGATATCACATCGAAGACAGAAAAACCGCATGCCGTTGCTGACACGCGACATGGGAAAGCAAACAATTAATTGCACCATTCTCTTGATGAGACCGCATTCAATGCGGTAAGGTTCGGAAATGAAAGGCAATAAATGCTCATAATACAGAGCATTTATTGCATCCTCCCCGAGAGGAGCACATTGTACCGTCGGCATCCCGATGACCCAGCATTGATTGCTCGGGACCCCGAGCAGTTAAGAAGAGAAGACATTTCTCATCAGAATCAGTGCGCACTGCCTGTACCTAATGATCACCTACTGACCACACTGACAGCAATCATGAGCTTTTGAGGTATAAATACCCCTTGTAAAAGGCAAGACGGGTATGCAACAAAAAACTCTTTACTACAATACACACTTAGTGTTTTCTCCTTCCTCTCTCTCTCACTCAAAGACTGACTAGATCGTCGGAGAGGGATACGCCGGAAAACACTCCGGCGCCCTTCTAACTTGTTTTTCTTTGTTCCAGGATCCTCTTTCAGCCTTACTGGATCGTTCTTCCTCTCCCCCAGGGTCTCCCGTTGCCGTTCCAGGTTACCACCGGACCTCGTAGACTGTTCCAAGCAGCGTGGTTGGTCACTCAACTGGCTCACTCGAAGTTCACCAAGGGAGA